GGTTAGGAGCTAAGTAGAACTTTCCTACAGCATGCAGACTCAGCCTTAGTTTCCAGCCAGCAACCAAATATTTCCAATATTTCCGATTAAAATTCCTGATGGATATCTTTTAGCTGGATACAATGATGGGACAACTCAAACTTTTTGCAAAGCTTAACAGCTCCCCCCCCCCACCGCTGCCTAAGTAACCTAAAATTACATGCACTGAAAAACGAAAACGAGCATTCATCTCTCTTTAAAATGTTTTTTTTTCATTTGTATGAACTCAAATTTGCTTTTAAATTTGTTTTTTATCTGCTTCGTTTGGCCCAGTCTGACAGTAAACACAATGGCTCTTAGAGGATCCATATGTGCCTGAAGCTCTGTTCCTGAGTGAGAAAATGCAGCTCAAAACTCGATGAGAAACTTTCACCTAGTGAATATTTTTCCCACCTCTAGTGAGAGAAGGAGAAGTGAAACTCAGCAAATGATAGCTTATCGGTAATATTTGGAAAAAAACTGTGATTGCAAACGAGTATCCTCAGTCGCTTTTAGAGCTGATCAAAGAATAAGCAAAATAGAGCAATGGCTTAGACACAATAAAGATACCGGCCATGGATCATCGAATAATAAACAACTCCTGATGTGGTAGTGGATTAGGAATTCCGATCATCGGCTTTGGCGACTCCAGTTTCTCATTGTCTAGTTTGGACTAAAAAAACGCAAGGGTGCAGGCTGGCAAGCAGCATCATTTACATACCTCTGACCAAGATGACCGTTCTCCCAATGATCAGAACTAAAATTCCGTCATTGTTTCCAAAACTGTCAGATTCAACTTATATCTTCCTTAATCTGCGTACAAGAATTCTGGTTGAATAAGGATATAGATAACACTTTAGTGTTGAAGGGCGGTTTTCATGTTCGGTTACAGGTTCTTGGAACCGCAGGAAAAAAAATAGAGGGGGACGGTGTTATGTCTACATTTTCTGGTGTAAAGGTGAGTTCCATGTTATTTTCAGTGCTGCTCGAGAGGTATTGAGTGTGTAACCATCCAATGCTGCCCGGGATTCTTCTGTTTTACTCACCAGTTTTACCAACTTGAATATAGTACTTAACTGTACACTCTTGACTGAAATGCAAGCTTCCGCGTTTGCCAAAGTTAAACAATACAACAACAATATAAAGATCTAGCCGAAGATTGATTGGTCCCAAATAATTGAAATCCACGGTAAGCAAGTCATGAAAGTACCCTCCACGGCAATGGAATGTTTGCTGAGGCCTGAAGTGGATTGACGGAGGTCAAGGGTGGTCCAACTATGACCCGATTTCAAGGTACGACTCATTGGTTATTGTACTTATATCTGCAGGTTATGGTTAGTTTCTCAATTAAAGATGTTAGGACATATGCCTGAGTGTCACCAGCGACGCCGCACGAACAGTTGTTCACCTTCCAGTTACACTTGGTTGACTCTACTCCCATTCCTTGGTCTGTGAACATTTCGATTCAATTTATTCCTTTATTTATCGGTCAACCGGACGGGTGGTCCGAAAGCAACAATCAAAACCGGAATAGGGTAGCATAGCGTCATTGGCTGTACAAATTACAAAACTGAACGGAAGCAACCAGCAAACGTCTACTGACTACTCCATGCATTTGCAACGCATTGTAAAAGCAAATCTGTTAAAAAGACAACAATCGCATAAATATCACATTCATTCATAAACAGACGGCTTGGGGAAATCACGATAAATTACCTTCAGTTGTGTGGCGGCCAAATTGTTGTGCAATTTCAAGATCAGAGTATCCATTTCGTGAAAGCAATCCGGGGACACGTCCACGGGGGATGCGGTTGTAGTCGCAGGGTCAACCTCCGTCTGGTCAACTGAGTCAGGAGAAAGAATTTTCAACGCTTTCATATAGCTGTTCATTGCAGATTCGTATTCCTCACGGCTAGAACGAACAAGCGAATGAAAAAGCGGTGTTGTTTTCTTTCTTCATTATAAAACTACGTATTAAAGAAAATCTGAAACTGACCGCAGGGAATGTCTGTTATCAGCATTAGTGTCAAATTTAAGTGTTGCGGTCAAGACGGAACATTTTAAATATCAACGTAACGATAGTCGTGTAGGACCAAACTCCAATGTTGTTTCATTGAGCTTTCTAATGTTGACAGAATGATCTTATCTTCGGGCCGATACCGGCGTGCTCGCCGTAAAAACCCTGATCATCGCGATCCAAAACTAACATCAAGTATTGCCGAAGTGCAGCCGTTAGAAACCGGCCACGATTCAATAAACCAAAGGCTTTTTATTTCGTAGAGAGCCTTGGAAAGGAGCGGAGTTGATGATTGATTTATGGTGTAACAGACAAAGACATTGTTCTTGTACTTCTGTAATTTCTTGCACATCTTTCTCATTTGAACGATTACGATCCAAGTTGCGGAAGGTTGACCGGAATGGGCGCGTGAGATAATTATACATAGACCAGTATTTCACACCAATGACTGATGACAGACATGCGTCATAAGCAACCACATACCGAAAATAGTAATTGCCTTTCTCGCGCTTCTGATCTGCAACGGTCAGTCGTTCCTTGCCTGACATGGTTGTGTACTGAGGTGGATCATCCGAGGCCAGAAGTCGAACGTGATAACGCAACCTGGCGTTGCCTGGAATATCTGGTTCGCTGAGTGTTTGGGCGGGGAGTAATAATAATGGCAAGCATTGTGGGAAAGCAAAGGAGAATGCGAGTGTTTTGAAAAAGGTGAAGCAATGAAAAACTCGAAAAAGACGGCAGTCCATTTCGTTTAGAAAACAGAGAAAAAGATTTTACACTGTTCGGATACTATGTAGCAAGGTCTGGTTCAAAACCAAATTATAGAACAAATCGTCCGCATCACACTTAAGTCAAATCGTGACGAACTTCATGCATTCACGTGTCAATTTGGGAAAATTATGATATTTGCAATCTGATGGTGAAGCACCAAAAAACACCAGACTGTTATTACAGCTAAGTTATCTGTAACATGGGATTTTTTGAGAAACAGCAGGATTATAAGCACAAAATATTCCGCAATCTGTGTTTACATATTTGCACACACGTCCAAATTTAGAGTGTGACAAAAAAAATCATAAAAAATGTGAAAAGAAAGTAATCTATCCTGAAACTAGCGTAAGTTATCGATCTGCTGCAAAAAGCATTAATAAAAGAAACCTATAAAGAAACGCAAAATATGCAAGAGATTCAAAACACAAAAGTAGCCACGCATCGCATGGTGACAACCTATGTCAAATGACATAACTACTGCGCATTCATTGAAGACAAGTCTCAGGTATACATATATACCAACATATATATATATCTTACAGATACGGCACCCAAATAACCATGGATGAAGGAAAAATTTGGGAACAGAAACGGGGAAAGCGAAAACAGTCAACGTGGGGAATAAGAATCTTTTGTTCACTGTACGCCCTTTTGGGTTGGTTTTCTTTGGTTTTGCTCATTTTTGGGATTGCACACAGGAAAGGATACATTCACGCCACTGAATTCGACTTGATGCTATATCCCACAGTGCCTTTAGTGAAGGACAAAGTGTCGTTAACACTGGTCGCGTATCTGATCTGCGTTCCGCTGGTCTAATGATTCGAGGGTTGACAAGGTGTGCTGCGGCATCCTGGATTTCTCATGAATTTCTGTGGCTTCATGACACACGAAGATCAATTCCGATGGCCAGAGAGCTTGAAGAAGCTCAACGCGTGAAGGGATGTGAACTCAAAGTGAGCCTACACAGAGATCGCAAAGATGAGTGGTATCAACCCGCATCGCAGATGAAGCGGCTGGAGGCCACGGGAAATGCCTGTAAGCAGTTCAACTTCAGCCGGGTCACCGGTAGGATAGCACGAGGTATGAGCTCGAGGATCCGCGAAGCAAATGAAACGCTTATTCACAATCGGAACAAAAGTTCCGGACGGTGTACGTTAAAGGAAAGATCACCTGACCACCAGCGTCAGCTGCTCCTACAGCTATTCCGGCAGATGGTTCATGGTCTGTGTCGACAAGATGGCTCCTCACATCCGCAGATCCAATCATGATTGAAAGATCAATGGGCATAAACCAGAAGCAGCTCAGTCTCACAAAGCCAGCTGTTTGGGCACCTCCTGGCTTCCTTCTTCTATCCACTCTCGCCTGTTGAAAGGTCACTCTAATAAAAAAAACACGGCGAGGGGTAGTTCACCGGTCAAAACCACCGCTAGATGGAGGTAAGAGCGGGGAACTTGGGGCTTCCTCCTGACGGTGGGAGAAGTCTTCGCACTTCATTGCACAGCCACCGCCCGTCAAAGCTGGGCAGCCCCACCCAACAAAGTGTTGTCCCGTCCACGTTCCGGTTGTCTCATTGGGTACACCAGATTAACGGCCGATCCCGAAAAGCGGACCGTCAACCGACACACCAGCGAATAACATACTGAACTGAACAAACGATCAATTGAAACAACACTTTCCAACAAATGTGTTGGAAATAATGTGGAACGATTGTAACTCGGGATGTGGATGTTGGTGTGTTCTCCGAGCTGAAAGTGTTTTTCGCAGACGTTTCTTGGCCAGGCTACGCAACATCATCAGCGCAACTTCGCCGAAGTTGGCTTTTTTCGCCTCTTTCCAATCAGGCCCAATCCTCGCCCGTCTTGTACATCCTGTTACCCTGTGTACATCGTCAGTCCAAGTCCCGGGACAGTCAGTCAGTCAGTTTTACAACCATTAACCATGCACTTTCGTGCGCCGGTTTTGGTTGCTGTCTTTTGGTTGCCCATTTGGATAAAAGAGCGAAATGAAGATTGGAATGTCGAAGCAAATTCAAGCGGAAGATGGGCAACGCATATAGTGTGTTAGGAAAATAACGAGTGGATGCATGAGCGCCACTGTTTGCGACACCCAGCCATATCACTCAGTGTAGCTAACCATCGGTGACCATCATCCCGAGGCCCCCAGCAAGGGAGCCTATGTGACCTAGTCTCCTGGTTAGGGTTTTCATACCCTCATGCCAGGTCTTAGCTTGACCGCCCTTTGTTTTTTCCAATCGCTACCAGCCTTGGCAAACATCGTTCGCCGTGGCAACCTATCTGGTGACATGCGTAACACATGTCCCAACCACCGTAACCTACGGAGGTCGATCACTTGTTCCAGTGGACAACCGCGACTGCCTAAAACTCTACGCCTAACCTCAACATTGCTAGTCCGGTTACCCCACCAGACACGTGCAATGCTACGTAGACAGCGGTGTTCGAACACCGACAATCTATTTTTATCCTATTCCCATCGTGGCCAAGTCTCTGCATCGTAGAGCAGGACTGGTCGAGCTGCTGCAGCATACACTCGACCCTTCACAGACAGCCGGATGTCCCGGGGTTTAGGTTACCGGTTACCGTCACTGAACAGCAGGTCTTCGTGACTATGGGATTCGCCCCATCTGATGTACAGCACATTTAGATGTGTAATAAAAACTTTAAAAAAACTAGTATTATGGATGAGTAACGCAAATGGAAGAAGCCTTTAAGGAATGGGTGGGTCCGAAACATATCCCAAACAGTAAACGTTGATGTTAAGCTATTTTTTCTAGTATTCGACAAAGATGCTTACATTGGAAATAAAAGCTGTCACAGTTACCCTTTTATCCAGTTCATACGAATGGCTGAACTCACTTCAAACTCTAAGGGTCCACGTAGAAGGAGGAAGATGGAGGGTAAGCAGACCAAGTTATCATATAGGTCGAACCGGGTAAGTAATCTAATGGTTAATAGATGCACGAAAAGAGGTTAGGTCAGCCGGTACTACAAGAATCAGATCCTAAAAGTACTTTATATTATTCAGCGATGTATTATAAAGCGAGTCAACTACAAACCGCATATGCACGCATTTATCTACAAACGCACATCCTTAGACGCCGCCAGTTCTTTTTTTCATTACAGACCAGGACTTGGAGTGACGAACCACATAAGACCCGCTAGCTCAGGCCTCGTCTTGAACCGGACGACAGCAAAGCTGCTTATCACAAAAGTCCGGTGCTGTTGACGGGGCTCAAGCCTCGGACCATAGAGTTCAAAACATACTGGTGACTACGAATAAACTACGGAGCCAGCACTTATGAAATCCCCCCAGGGGGCATTCGACCCGGATCATTTGTGCACGGATTTCACTCTGGATACACATTCGATGCTTTGCTCAATTGGAAAATAATCGTCTGCGGGTCCGTACATTCGACTGGAAGAATCCGATGAAATTCGTTTAATACAACGAAAAAGGCCAACGTAAACCACAACATGCACAACAAATAAGAATTGATAGTCCTCAACACTTAATTCTTGGCACAACAGCTGCCCACAAAGCCGAGTGGTGAAGGAGACAACAATAATACATGCATGCTCTTAAAGTATCTCTTACCGGCCACGAACACCATACGCGAATCGTGCATCAGCGATTAGCTCAAACTTCTCTTTCAGTTCTGCCAAGGGTATGGCCAAATCCAGAGCTACGGAAGGACGGATATATATTTGTTTGTTCAACTTTATCAAAAACTCACCGTGAATAACATCTCCATCACCCAAGGTAAACGTAAGTTCTGGCATATCTTCTACTAAAGTTCCATCTTCATCCAGCCAGCACTGATAGCTCACAGTGACGACATCGCCGTGATTCGGGCGAGTTTCACGACCTAAACCCTTCTCAACTACCTATAAAGACCATAGTTATCGTACCATAACGGGTATGTGCAAAGAAATAAATATACCTGTTTGGTAATTAAACCGTTGCCCAAAATGTCCAATTTCTCGGAACTTTCGCCGTCCACATTCGCAATTGTGTCATCATTATCATGATTAGCATTGTGTTCATCCACCGGGATCTCATGCTCTATTGGTTCAGACTCATTCAACGGGACTGACTCTCGCGCAGTGGTTGTATCCACCACTTCATCTGATTTGATATCTCCTCCAGGCCAGATTTCTTCCTTTGTATTATCTTCTGGTGCCACCACGGTCATTTCGGTAGCGGGGTTTGTAGCATTGGATACAGAAGTGACAGTGAGGGGAGCTTCGACCTCATCGGTCGTGGGTGACAGTGTAGTAACTTCATTAAAGGTACCCGATTTGGATGACACGCGTTTCTTATGACGACCCATGACAGGCTGAAAGATTCACATGTACAGCATATCAACTACAATCAAATATCCATTTACGAAATGCACTTTATCATATATATATATATATATATATATACATATCAACATCGTTTACCCTTTATCCATTCATCATCATCATCATTATACAGCATAATACAGTGAAGCGAACTTCACTGATCGCTACCAAACTCATAATGCATACAAAATAAGTGAGAATGTGTAAGGAGGACAGGGATTGGGCCTATTTTTAGGGACGGGAAAAGAAAGCCAACCTCTATGGTCAACACAGAGTACAAAGCCCAACTGTGCACACATACTAGTTCAAGCATTCTGGACTGATAAGAAGTGACAGCATGATCGCCATTGCTGTCGGTTCGCAGCCATGACATTCAGTGTCTCCAACCATGCGGTCTCGGAGACTTTTGGACCCCAACCCGGAAGACGAGAGACACCTACTCTACCTAATCGCAATGTGCATTTCTTTATACCTCGTCTCCACGCCTTCTGTTGGCCTCCACGTGGCTTTCTCCATTAGTCCAGTACAAGATAACAGGTGGGCAGAATGGATATAAACATTAATCGTCGACCAGATGAATCAATTAAAAGATCTACCATCTAAAAGAATGGATATCGGCCATCAATTTCGCGTGCTGTAATTCAGCTGTATACGCACATTTATATGAGCACGTCAAACGAAAAAACATGGGAATTGAAATGAATCGTTTGAACAACGTGGTGGATAAGTGAGTTGGGTGATTTGTGTTTGCTTATGGGTTAAGGTCAAGTTGGATGAAAAAATTGATATGGAGGTGAACTGGCCCAAAAAATGTGATGAATGTGGTGGACGAAAGTTCATTTCATACATTATGGCAGGGTAGGATCAAGCGTGAAATCATCACCACCACCACGGTCACAAGAATTGTGTCACAAATATTTTTGAAAACAACCGCAGTCTCAAACGATGAATTATTATCGCCTTTAAGACTCGCAGTTTATAGACTCCGATGCCTTGTAGTGACACGAAACGCTTTGAGTGCGTCAATATGGTGAGGGGAGTCTGAAAAATGCCGGGCAATTGCACTCCGAGAAGAATAAGATGTGAAAATATTTCGTGGTAGACGGTTNTTCCCGGTTGGTACAACCGCCTAGCCACGAGGACGGTATGTGGTTCGCCACTCCAAGTTCCAGGGCCAGGTTGCCGGTTATCTCTCATCTGACGATGAATACTACAACAAAAATGGATCACTCCTCAAGCGCTCTTTCCTTCGAAAATCACACTCACAAACATTCGCGGCTTGAACCAAAATACTGAATCTTTCAATCAATTTCTTCAGTCCAATTCACCTCTTGCTCTATTTTATCCGCCTCCGAATGTTTCAGTACGATGCGGGGTGGGTATCTCGGGTTTCGGCTGATCAGGCCTCTCTTGCACCTAGCAAAATGCTCTCATACAATCAAGCGTCTCAAACAGCATCTGCTGAACAAGCCGTACTCACTGCCTTCTCTTGGCGGAAGTATTTTCCCGAAGTGAAACCAATATACGGGGCTATAACCGGGTTGGTGAGAGGAGTTGGCGAAAAACCCTGACTCCAAATCAAAGAAGAAGTACGAAA